AATTTATTTTGATTTATTATTCATACTCAAAAGTGATTTCCATTCAAAACTTTGTGCATTTTAAGTTAAGTTCATCTCTTACTGAGTTTATTAGCATTGAACAAGTGAGTAGGAAAATGATTTGGTTCCCTATCAACTTATAATATAATAGTTTGCTTTTAAAGCATATTCACTGTCTTTTTCTTAAGTTAAAAAATTGCCAATGAAGTTTTATTCCTAAACAGAACACGTGAAAATCAAACACACTAAACAAAACTGAATTAAATGTGTTTACAACAGGCAGCATAGTAGATTCTCATATTTTCTCAGTGGAGTTCTGATTAGGAAACAAATGCCACCACTGGACTTTCTATTTCCTACACCCAATTTATGTTTGCTCAGAAGCTTTAGTTTTTGGCAAATGCAATACCGATTTTGAATTCCTTCAATTTCTTCAGACACTAGTGTGGTATTATTCTTTCTCAGACCATGCATTTATTTTGTATTAAATGTTCTTTGTCTATTGCTGTATTGTTCAATAGACCTTTGGAATCCAGCTTCTAAGACAGGCCTGAAGATCTTTGAGCTCCTCCAACATTGATTCATGGCTGCTCTTAATATAATGCTAACAACTGTGTTTGCCTCCCAAAGATGAGTTGCAAAACCAATACAATTTCTATGTTTCTTTCCAATGGACAAGAATGAATTGCTGTTGAGAAAGCAACTGGCAGACATACTTCAAGCATATCAGAATAGCAGCATGGTGCAGAGAAGCTGAAGCCAGAATCCACCACCATGAAGGGTCCAGCGCCAAGCACGGGCTACATTAGACATTCAAGCTGACATCAACAGTGACTTATGAAAGACTCTAATTCATACTGAGCTAGTGCTTCCTGCTTAATTTTCTGAGTCATTTCACAATGCGTTATTGTTTGAAGTCATTGTTCTTGCACTAATAAGTTTCTTGAAACTAGTGCTGTCGCCAGATTTGTTTTCATCTCTTTGCTGAAAACGTTTTGTGTAAGGTTTACAAGGACAAGGAAATGTTACTAATACTTTCTTACTTTCAATGAACACATTTTGACACAGTCCTCCTTTTGATGGTTCATAGGCCCACCAAGAAAACACTCACCATCTACAACCCAAGATCAAGGAAAAAAGGCTGAAATGAACTTGGCAATTTAGACAAATATATAATGTCATATATGGGAGCAATTCACCCACAATTCAGACCAAAAATAACACAAATTATACTAATCAGCTGGCCATAGATAGACACTAAATTATATGTTTTAAAAGAACTACATAAAATCAATATTGATCAAGTTGTTTATTTATGTACTCACACATGAAATTTTCAGGTTTATATATTTCTCTTATATTTATTTTACAACTGTTCTAGAGGTCTAACTTTTAGAAATAAAGACAGAAACAAATCAAAAGAAAAAATGAACTAACCCACAAACAAAACAACCACACCAAAACATAAGAGAGCATATAATGCAATTTAGTGAATACAGTGCTTGTTGAGGTTGTATGAAGTCTTGGGTTTTTTCTTCAGGAATATGTAAATACAGGCAGGCATGGTAGTACAAGTCTGGAGTTTGAGGACTCTGTAGATGTCATCAGGAAGTGAAGAAGTTCAGAGTCATTGCATTGGCTAGTTTTGTGTGTCAACTTGACACAAGCTAGAGTCATCAGAGAGGAAGGAGCCTCAGTTGAATAAATGCCTCCATGAGGTCCAGCTGTAAGGCATTTTCTCAATTAGTAACAAATGGGAAAGGACCCAACACATAGTGGATCTTGTTATCACTGAGTTGCTTATCACTGAGTCCTGGGTTATATAAAACAGCAAGCTGAGCCAGCAATGGGTCGCAAGACAGTAAGCAGCTCCCCTCCATGGCCTCTGCATCAGCTCCTGCCTCCTGGTTCTGGCCCTGTCCTGACTTCCCTCAGTGATGAACAGTAATACTGAAGTGTAAGCCAAATAAACCCTTTCCTACACAACTTGCTATTTGGACTTGGTGTTTAGTCACAGTATAGAAATCCTAAGACATAATGGTTAAGTTTAAGACTAGCCTTCAATGCTTGAAACACCTATCAAAACACCAAACAAAAGAAGCAAATAAAATCGTCAAGGTTTAGGTTAATTCTACCCATACTGTTTTCCAAGCCACTAAGATACTCAGAGAAACTGCAGTGAGTAATTAATCCCACACAAAAAGACTTCTTAGCAGACCAGAGGTGGCACACAACTTTAATCCCAGCACTTGTGTGGTGAATCTCTAAGTAGGAAGCCAGGCTGGATTACACAGTGAGTTCCAAGATGGCCAGGGATACATAGATAAACCCTATCTCAAAAAACTAACCACTTAAACAAACAAACAGAAGAACCCACATCTTGTCTTGACTCTAGTTTTATACTTTATAATAATTTATTAAGTGGTGACATAAGAATTAAATTTGTACAGAATGCATTTGTCTTATTAAGAATTTAAGGTTGAAAAGATTATTAAAGTATGTCCATTTCTTATTGATAAAAATACTTTTAATTTTTGTTAGATTTAAAAGATACAACATATTTTGAAAACAACATCAGGACTAAATCTATTTTCTGACATTAGTGTAAGAAAAAATTTTAAAAACATTCAAAAGTTAACAAAAATGATTGCAATTTCATATCTGAGTACCTAATAATCATATGTGTTTTGGTAATTAATTAAGTCAAGTTTTGTTCATGTCTCACATTGCTTACCTTTGGTGTGTTGTTTCTGTTGACTTCCTAAGTTCTCAGGTGACATAATGGCTTGAGTATCGTTAAACAAAGATCCTTGGCTTGAGAAAAATTTGCATAGCATTTGTCAGTGCTCCAATGCTCTAGAAATAAGCCCAGATTAGACACAGGACTTGTATAATCAATGCTTTAAAATGGAACAACCCATTTGAGTCAACTTTACATAAATATACCATCGATCTACAGATTTACTAATTACAGCTCCTCATTTTGAGCATGTGTGAAGCCTTTTTTACAAATTACATTTAGTCCACTTGATGGTATAATTTGATTATTTCATGATCGATATAAACGGGAGTAAGGAATTAAAGTAATGGTTTCTGTGAAGGAGTAATTTGCTTAATGCCTACTCAGAAGGAAAGACCACAAGCACAACCATAAAAGCCAAAATACCATCTGTGCACTTTTCACTAGAAGTAGACATGATAGAATTAAGGCATGGAAAAAAAGTTAGAAGTGAAAAAAAATTACATGGCATACAAAGTTCAGTTGGAGATAAAATTTAGAGATTCTCTTATTGGGATCTATATTAGGGCTATTATCCAACTACCCCTAAAAGTATTTCTTTTTGTTGAAATTAATTAGTATTAGAAGGTGTATTCATTTGGGGTTCCTTTGGATATAAGTTTGTTTAAAACTAAGCACTGTTTGCCGTGTGTGTGTGTGTGTGTGTGTGTGTGTGTGTGTGTGTGTGTGTGTGCTTTTTAAACAAGAGACAAACAAAGTCACAATAATACACTCATAGAACATACTGAAATTATCTTTATTCTAGAAAGAAAGACCATGAATTTTGGTGTTGAATATTAAAATTGAGACATTTTAAAATATCAAAGATGAGTAACAAAATATGAATACAAAAGTTTGAACCACATCTGAGGTTTCTGGATAAAAGGAGACACAATAGGCTAATCACAAAGACATTTGTTGAAGAAGACATTACTCTTTCTTTCCCTTCAGAAGGAAGACCATGGTGTTAACTAAATCATTATGCTGCACAGAGACATTTGTATTAATTGACAGATTGTGATTGTGCTGTTGTGTGCTTAACAAGACACTTAAACATCTGTGGAACTCTTCAAAGAAATCAGACAACGAAGAAGAGAATGAAATAAGCCTCATGAACAAAGTTAGCAAGAAAGAAATAAAATATTTCAATATCTCTTGAGAATACAGAGGTAGCATGAATCTATAAAAAGAGGAAACTATAAAAATTTAAATATAGGCTGGAAAGTGGTGGCCTACCCCTATAATCCCAGCACTCGGAAGGAAGAGGCAGGGGGATCTCTGTGAGTTTGAGACCAACTTGGTCTACAAGAGCTAGTTCCAGGACATGCTCCAAAGTTACTCAGAGAAACTCTGTCTCAAAAAACAATAAAAAAATCAAATTTAGAAGTCTTTGGAGAAGCCCATACTGGCATTACCATTAAACTATAGGATATAATAATAATAATAATAATAATAATAATAATAATAATAATAATAGTAGTAGTAGTAGTAATCTTTCATAATACAACATCAAAAAACACAAGTAAAAAGCTGTAAGACTAGTAAATAAAAAAAAAAAACAGAGACTGATATTGCGGTTCAAGCTTCAAGCTTCAAGCTGAAGTTCACAAAAGCAAAGCAACCAGCCACTAGCTCTCACTTCTAGCCCAGGCTGAAAGTGATGATCCATGAGTTCTTCAACAAGCCTCAAACGGCTGCCTCTCCTCAGTGTGGTTGGAGAATGAATGAATGCCTCTTACTGAGACCTTGCTCCTGCCTTATATATCTCTCATGAGTCCTGGAATTACAGGTGTGAGCTGTAATTCTCTTTTAGACTTATTCACTCTTGTGTAGGTCTGGGAGGCCTTGGACTCACAGAGATCCGTCTACCTCTTAATCCTGAGTCCTAGTATTAAAGGTGTGTACCACCACCTCCTAGCTTCTGGCTGCTGGGATTAAAGGTGTGCACCTGGCTTCTAAGGCTTGTGACTGACTTTGCTGTCTGAATCTTCAGGCAAGCTTTAATAAATCACAAATAATATATCACTACAAAAAGCAATGCAGAATTTAATACATTCGACAGACAGATTCTAGTAGAAGGGAAAGGATAAAATAGGCATAAGACAGTGCAAGTAGGTGGCCTGGGAAACCAAGAGAAATAACAATACATAGCAAAATCTTGAGTTTTAAAGCTGAAGCAGATGATTAGGACTGGATAGAATACCAAAACACAATATTGTTGTTCTGTTTCAGTACCATACATGATCATCAGATAGCTGCTATGGTGTTCACATTTATTACTGCAAATTCTGAACACAAGGAAGATTTTCTCCTTGGAATTTACTTTAGGTCAACTTTGGGATTCCCTAAATGTGTTGTCTCCATCAAACCTCTCATTTTGGGCTACAGGGATTTATGTGGAAGAGGAGTCCAGAGGTGATGGATGACTCAATGGAAACAAGTCTTCCAGGGACAACAGACTGAAGGTCTTATTAACCATCTGAATTCATAGACACTGTGGCAGAACTCAAGACAGGCAAGGTCCCAGCCCAGAAAGGAGGAATAGTGAACACAGGCAAAACCTGCCTAATCAACAAGTTATCTGCAACTGATACCCTCTAATGAAGGAAAAATTAGTTTTCTTAATCGAAGTTTCATTAGGCATATAAACCACATGTCAGAGTGGTTCCCATGCCCTGGAGTATTTAGTCCACTCAAAATGAATTCAATAGTATTTTTGTAGATGTTTTTAAATTAAAAACATGTTTCTTCAGGCTTTCTTTTCTTCTTATTGGTCATTTGACAAATATTTTGGTTTCCATTTTTGTTGTATGTGCTTCTGTGATTTTGTTTTTTGGGTTTTGTTGTTATTTGTTTGTGTTTTGGTTGTTTACATTTTAAAAGTGAGCTAAATAAAGGTTATGAAGTTGGATGGGTATGGTAGGGAGTGGGGGTTTGAGATGTGTAAGATTTAGAGGAGGTGAAAAACACGATCAGTTTATATTGTGTGTGACTTTTTTCAGTTGGAAATATGTAAATAAAATAATAGATGAAAAATGAATTAGTAAAATTGTCCATCCATTAACTGAAAATGCAAGTTCCCCTAATGACAAATGAAACCTTCCACTCTTTGAGTTATGGGGATTTCATCTAAGATTTTCAGTGTATAGAACTGAAACTCATATTAGTTGGCACTCCATCCACCCAAATCTGTTGAATCATTAAGTGATTGCCTATGTGGACGAACACAGAGCAATACATAGACTAAATTCCATATGGCACAGATTTACACATATAAATATATTTACACATACATATACGTATATAAAAAGCATATCTTAAACTATTTTAACAAAGGCTGGAGATATGGCTTGGTGATTAAGAGTGCTTCTGCTCTATCAAAGGACCTGGGTTCAGTTCACTGAACCCTCATGACAGCTCATAGTCTTATAAAGCCTCAGGTCAATGGAACTGATGCCTCTTCAGGACTTTACAGGTACCTCACACACACAGCACAGAAATATACATACAGATTAAACACTGAAACACATAAAAATAAAGTAAATAAAAATTTAAAAGCATTTTAAGAATCAGTAGAATGGGTCAGAAAAAAAGAAAGCAAAATCTAAGATGAGAGTAATGTAAGCCATCCAGCACATCTTCTCATGCCAGGCATCTCCTCATAGAGCTATATAAGCCAAAAATTTACTGTCAATTTTAAGAGTGTTGCAGGTGTAAAGCTGAACTACATCATAGCATTAACATTGCCCAGGTGGTAACTGAATAAAATTCATGCCTGGCACTGATTTGAGAACTGAGCTTCTTCCTACATACAAGTGAAATTTGAGTTTTTTTTCTTTTCCTACTGTGTCTCTCCTCTGCTGAAAACACTGGGTGCCAGTGGAGCATATACCATATATTCTGATACATAGCATTAAAACTTTTATTTGTGTAATTAAAATTCAAGTCTCTAAAAAATAGATGCAGTAGACAGTTGGCCAGCCTCTTTGGCAGAAGTTGTATTTGAGGAAGAAAAGATACAAAAATAATTTCTCTACATGACTGGTTTGGATCTCTCTTCGCTCAGCCATTCCTGGTGCACAACATGAAACTTTACCCCAAATGCATCCTATTTGGAAACAGAAAAAAGCTTTTTCTGTTGTGAAAGAGTACAATGAAAAATGCATAAATCAACCTCAATTTGGATGACTTCAGTAATTTGCATTCATCTGTTTAAAGAGAGATGTCTTTGGAGACTCCTATTTTTACATAAAAATTACACTCAGCATCTCGAAGGCTCTTTTGTTCACTAAAATTAGATTTGCTCACTTATACAATTCACAGGCTTCAATTTGTTCAGAGCAAAGTCACACATGCTATTTGTAGTATGCCCTTTTCTCGCCTAACTCCCTCAAAAACTTAAAAGATTATATGGACTATAGTTGTCTTCTTACAGCAGAGTAACATACGGTGATTCCTGGAGTATGTGCCTGTGGTTAAAAAGCCACCTCTTCTTTACAACCTCCATCCTCCAAAAGTGCCAAAGAGTTGTGAGAGTATTACATACTTCAGAACTAATGAGATTTTTAAAGGGGCATCGAAGACACAATTCACGAACCTGTGGCATCAGCAATTCCAGACCTACAACTTTATCATTCAGTGCCGTTCTAGCTCTAAACATGCTGAACAAAATGGCAGATTCCTCTGTTTATCCTTGCGATAGTCCAGGTGGGTGTGAAACTACACCGTAAGTGGGCAAACTATCAACTGAGCCATCAGAAAAGGAAGAAAGCTATGTCATAACAGAAAGGCAACTAGCATATCACATTTCAGCGATAAATGTACAGCATATCGCCACTAATAATGTGTGTGTCAGATAGTGTCTACTTCTATTGCTTTCATTAAATTAATTCATTAGATGGTATGGTGAAATTCAGTAGCTAGAATTAAAGTTGTAGTTATATTTGCCTTTGTCTTAGCATGGCGTGCTGTTGTGGGTATACCAGTTAGCTCTTTCTAAGTGCCACCAGACAGTGGTATCAGCAGCTCATCAACAATGCTGACTTCATAAACATTTGGCCTCTGCAGTTACAAAAAGCCATGTGCTGAGAAGATTTCTCCACTGGTTAATAAGATACCCTTGCTGTCATGATATTCTCAATAATTTTAGAATAGGTGTTTGCTATTTTCTTTTTGTGGTGGGCCCACCTATGGCTTTGAGCATCCTGCACATCAGCAACTAACCTGGACCAGTGATTTCCATACAGTAATTGTTCAATGTATACTTGCCCCCTCTTTATAATTTTCCTCCTCCTAAAGAAAAGCTAGACTTTATACTTTCTACATTCTTTTTAATGCATACTCAATAGGTCTGCTCATTTCATTTCCTTTACCTGGCTTCATTCTCCAGCATCTAAGGATTTGAATTATAGTACTTGCCACGTGTGAAGCACATCCAATAACTATATGGAGCAAGCAAGTGAAATCTTCAAGCAAGAGAATTGCATTGATGTGTAGACTGTAATAGACATTTGAAGAAACCATTACACTACTTTGGGATGAAGTATGATTTGAGAGTATAGCTCTAAATCTGCTTAGTGTGTCTCAGATGGATGTAGACCTAAACTCTAGAATACCAAATCATGCAATGCCTAACTTGTTTCATTTCTAAAGACTATAAGAAACATTTCATCTCTGACTTTGAAATATTACAAACAACTTCATGTCAATCAATTCAGTGATAAACAATAATGAAAACAATTGAGTCAGTTTAATATGCTGTTAAATTTAGCACTAATATATATGAACAAGGGCAAGTATATCATATCTAATTTCATGTAAAAATGTTGGTGTAGTTTCCCTTTTGAAATTCTACCACTTGGTAATTACAATGTTTATTTTATACATTTTAAAATTTAGTTTATTCACAGATACATAAATGTTTTACATAACCTAAAAGTATACATTTAAATTCAGTAGCTGTGCATGTTGTTTGAACTTTAAATTGTGCTAAATATCAATCTTTTTAAATTTTTATTCTTTCTATATAGTGAAAATGCTACAAATATTTGCTTCTTTCCATACATTTAATATGATATTGTCTGTAATCAGACTTCTATGAAATTTAGCACCTAGACAGCAAAATCACACTATACTGTCCTAGATTAAACTTCCTTCACATCTCCCTCCTTTCAACTTTCCATATGTTCTTCTAATCAAGGTTCTAAGGTTACCTTTTAGGAGAATTACTTGTGCAAGCTGCACATATGCACATAGTTCTTTGCTTTCCATGCCTGGCTCACATCATCTAACATAGTGACACACATATCTACCTATGTTTCTTTGCAAGTAAAAGAAAGTTGTTCTCATTAGAGATGAATAATATTCCTCTGTGGAGGTTTACAGCATACTTCCTTGATTCATCACTTGTTGGACACTGAGGGATAATCTTTGGAGATAAGAATAATGTTCTAGTAACTGAGTGAAGATTTCACTTCAACCTAGTCATCCCAGCTTTACTTTGCCTTTGAATATATATCCATTATTGAGATTGCTGAGTTATAGGATGATTATTCATTATTTTTCTATTTATTTTCTGTGTTGTCATTTACTTATTTTTTAGTTAGTAAATAAATGTTTGTAGTGATGGCTTTTGTGTTTTGATTAAGTTGGTTTGTTTATTGCTTTGTTTTGCTGTATTTTATGATTCAGATTTCCTGTGGCACAGGCTAGCCTTGAATTCCTGGACATTTGCCTCCTTCTCCCAAGAATTTGAATAGTACATATCTGCAACAAAGTTCTTGTATAAACTTTTTGAGGGAACTCATTTTTCCCCATAATACTTCTATTAGCTTGCATTTCAACTAACAATCTAATAATATCCCTGTGTTTCTTTCTCTCCATAAGCCTATTAATACTTGTTATCATTAACCTCTCTATAATAGTCATTTTAATGGGGCAATGTTGGCATCTTATTGTGGTATTTATTTCTACTTCCTACAGCATATTTTCATAACTTATTAGTCATAGTGTGTCTTTTTTTGGAAATGTCTATTTGGTTCTATAGCTTATTTTAAATGGAAGATATTGCTTCATCCTATTGAGATTTTTAGTTCATTATATATTCCGTGTATCAATTGTTTTTTGCTGGTTAACTTTAAATTGTTTTTGTTATTTTATAAGTTGGCTTTTCATTCTTGGAACTGCACAAAGAAAAACAAACCTTTAGCTATGCCAAGAATAAGAGAGAGGGCACTCAGAGAATTATAATCATAAGTGACAAGAGAAACACTATAATTGACACCATAGAAATTTATAAGATAACTGGAGATTATTATACATGACAACTCAACAAAAAAAAATCGATGGCCTAGAATAAATGGGCAAATTCCTG